AAGCAAGGTTTTGGATTAACGTTAGATTAGCGCTAGATTAGCGCTAGATTAACGTTAGAGTTGGTTAGTTACAAATTCTAGATAGATCACAATTCAAGAAAAGAACGAGGTTTTAAACAGGGACATTGTTACAAACGAAAACGCGAATAAAACCACGTGAACTATTTAAATGTCAAAAATAAATACTAACTCTTGAAATTATTTTATTCAATTGAAATAATTGGTATATTGTACAACATTTTATGTACCGCAAACTTTTAATAAATGATGATCAGGAAGGTTTAAACGTTATTTAAAATAAATATAATAGATATATTTATAAGGATCTGTGTTGTGTTTATTTGTATTATTTGTATTATTTGTACCATTAACTAATATACTAATATACAAATTTGCAAGAACTTTATATTAAAAAAAAAATTAAACGTTTCATTTAAACGGAATTGTACAATCAAAAATATACTTAAAAAAGTATTTGGAAAAGTACTCGGGAAATGTACTCAAAAAAGTACTTAAAATGCACTCAAAATGTGCATGGGTTATACGTAGATAAATAATTAATACAAGTTTATAATCAAAATGAAGAGAATCAATCTTTTCAGCATTCATATTTCATACGATAGCTTTATTAACGACTTTTTCAATAATCCTATCAATAATTCTATCAATACTTCTATCAATAATTCTATCAATAATTCTATCAATACTTCTATCAATACTTCTATCAACAATCCTATCAACAATATCAAATATTCTATCAATAATCGAAATTATATATATATTGAATTATATAAAACCTGACATAACTAGTTTTTAGCACAATTAAGTATTTGATATGTTACGTATATCATATTTTTCCTATCTCGGAAGTGATAAGAAAACAAAATTAGAATAGTTAGATGAAACAAACGTATGTATATATATAAACGTAAATGGGCGTTTTTTAAAAAATCAAAAAGAGGTTCAGGTAAATTAGATAAATTAATCATAGTCTGTTTCAAATTAATTATTTATATTACTTAAAGTTATTAGGTGTACGATGATGTAAGATGAACAGTAACGTAGATCTTTGAAACATGAAATTTAGTGACTTTTTTTTTTTTTTTTTAAATTTGGTATTTATGACATGAATGAATATATTGAATAGAGACAAGATATGAAACAAAAGGATTTGTAAATCGATCAAAGGAATTTCAAGGACCCTATCATATATATGACAACTTTATAACCTTTGTAATCGTTATGTACTTTATGAATTTTGTGAAATTTGTGAAATTTGTGAACTTAGTAAATTTTGTGAATTTTATGAATGAATGAGATGTAAAACTTTACGAATGAATGTTACGAATGAATATTACGAATGAAATATTACGAGTGAATATAACGATTGAATAAAATGAATAAGCGCATATGTCAAAACCATACAGATATTATTTGATGACGGGTACAACAGCATTCTAATAACCTTGATCATCATTACGATATATATATATGCTAAATAAATTACACACTATATATATTTATTATTTAGAGTATTTAGATTGACGGAAAGTCGCGGACATCTTTTCGATATATGCTTATAGATGATAATGCATAACTTTCTTCTGACACAATCCATCATTCCGTATTTGATATAATTACAAGATGATCATGAAAGAAATAACATTAAAAAAACCGATCTGTACTTGTTAAGAAATGATACGAATTATTAAAAAAAAAAAAGAATGTATCCGGTAAATTCTAAGAATTCAAATTTGAGATTTAAGTTTTTTTTTTTTTTTAGACTTAACCAAATTGACATGAACAAAAAGAAAAAAAATTTTTTTTTTTTTTTTAGTTCGAAAATCAGAATGAGTTACATAACGCATTCATTTTCATTTTCATACAGTTAAACAAATGACCCTTCATTTAAAAAATTCTTAAATGACCCTTCATTTAAGGATATTCAGAAGGACAAGATGTGATAGAAGAAACTCTTTTTTTTTTTCTTAATACTAAATTTTCGACTATTTAAACAAATATTGAAACAGACATTTGCGAATCGGCAAGTGAGCCCTTAAATCCGACACTAACCGTTAGCTCCGACACTAACCGTTAGCACACTAACAGGAGTTACATTCAACCCGTATCGGGTAATTTACAAACAATCGAGGCATTCAATCGATTAATTTATTTAATTTTTCATTACAAAAAAGTTAATATCATTGTTATTCAGAAGATTCCAGATACTAGTTTATGTTTTACCGAAAATCTTTAAAAGAAATAAATTCTTTCAGGATTATTTAAATGATATATCGATATTACGTATTACGTATTACGTATTAAAAAAAAATATTGAAATGAGGTACCATTAAAAATTCACCCTAAATTTTTCTAATTGAGACAGTGACACGTAGTTTATCCGTATCACCATCGATCAACAAATTCATCAGAAAAAAAAAGAAATCACGTAACGTAACGTAAGCACACTTAAATGAATAAAACAACAACATTACCATTACCAGGATTAAAAATGTAATATATACCCCATAAATTGATAACAATATCCAATAATTACGAAAACGGAAGTCGATGGTATGCAAATATTCTATTACCAGGGGCCTTGAAGGAAAGAACATGATTTTTCTTGAACCATTATCCAGGAATAATATTATCGAAGCTAGTGTAACATGAATAGAATGTGAAAAGAAAGTGAGTAAGTGTAACGTGAAGAGAAATTGTGATAAAAGGATAGTTCATTCATTGCTATTAACGTTAATTAC